AATAGTTATTGAAAATTGTATATATTATAGTCATAGAACTGTTAAGCTTATAGTATCTACAACAACAATTAAGGCATGTTCGGTACAGTTTAAAATCCAATTAAAATTGAAAATATGGCCGTTATTTGGTCCCACACGTCTAATAAAAGTCAACAATAATGGCTAATTTTTCAATTTTAATCCAATTTTAATCTCTACCGAACACGCCCTTAGACTTGTTATGTTTTACAATTTTGACTGTTTGGCTCTCAAAGAACAAAATGTTCAGGAGATCAACATGGAAAAAATGAGGATGCTAATAGATGTGTGATTGGACTATAATATGACAAGATAAGAAATGAGAATATACTAAAAATGGAGGTGATATCGATTGAAGATAAAATATGGTAAGGGGGTCATAGGTGGATGTGACAATTTTTCTGTAGACTTATAGAGGCTTATTTTCATAGGAATGATACACAACTTCAATAGAACAAGTCAGAAAGATGAAGATATAGACTAAAACTAACATGTCATATGTATTTGCTTAGGATCTAGTTGCTTTAAATCTTCTAGTAAATCTAGCTATGAGTTGACTAGAGTAGCAAAACAAAAGTCAAGTAGCTTGCTCCAAATCTATTAAGTACTGAGATTAATTTGTTTTTGTCGTTGGTTGTGATTTTGTACTCTTATGGCATCTAGCATATAGTGGGATGCAAGTGTTCTACCATAAAACTGGCACCATTTGTCCACTCTTTACCTATTTGCTGAAAAATCAAAGTTTACTGTGTATGCATCTTTGCTGACCCGTTTTCAAGTTTGTGGAGCTTCATTATCTTTTGCTTCTATAGTAGAGGGTGGACATTTCACTACATGTGGTAGGGCAGTAAAGAGCAAGTGAAAGAAAGAAGAGAGAAGAGGATTTGGAGAATTTGGGAGAGAAACGTATAATAACTTTCACGTATGTTATATCCCAAAAATCATTGTCTTCATCATTAAACAATACGAACCCTATTCATGTGTAAAATTCTCAACATGACAGAAACTTTAAAAACTAAAATATCGGAAAATTTCCTCTCTAACTAGCATAAGGATGCGGAATAAATTAATAGCTATTTTCTATTTCTGTTACTACCCATAATAAATGAGTACATTTGGTACGTCCCACATTCTGATGGTAACCTTCTTCATTACTTATCTCCCTCACTATTTTAATGAGCTTCTCATTTAAACTCTTAATATGCATGTGTATGCTTCTCTTATGAGATTGCTTTTTTTAGCGGTGAAGATATATATTGTTTAATGGGGTCTGTGGTCAAAAATGTTGTGAACAAAATGGTAATTATGATTACAACAAGGTCAATCTAAAGATGGTGAATAAAAGAGTCAAAGTATCCATGAAAAATAGACACCAAAATTTACTTGGGTTCAACAATTTGCTTAAGTCTATAGAAGCCAACATCTTTTGTATCGCAGTAAAGAGGAGTAAAGAGGAAGTGATAGAAAGAAGAAAGAAGGGGAATTGGAGAATTCGGGAGAGAAACGTATAATAATTTTCATATATGTTATATCACAAAAATCACTGTCTTCATCATTCAACAATTCTAGCCCTATTTATACGTAAAATTCTCGACATGACAGAAACTTAAAAAATAACAAATTGGAAAATTTCCTCTGTAACCAATATAACTTATATGGTATAAATTAATAGCTACTTGCTATTTTTGTCACTACCCATAATAAATGAGTATATTTGGTAAGTCTCACATTCAGATGGTAATTTTCTTCATTATGTATCTCCCTCACTATGTTAACAAGCTTTTCGTTTAAACCTTTAACTTGCATGTGTGTACTTCTCTTATAAGAGTGCTGTTTTTTAGCTGTGAAGATACATATTGTTTAATGGGTTTCGTGATCACAAGTGTTGTGCAGTAATTATGATGACAACAAGGTCAATCTAAAAATGGTGAATGAAAGAGTCAAAATATCCACGAAAAATGGACACCAATATTTACTTGGTTCAACAATTTGCTTTAGTCCGTAGAAGCCAACATCTTTTGTAATCTTGTAAATGGAACTCTTCGAGTTTATGAGTTTGCAAGTAATTCTTCTCTCCTCATTGTGTAATTCTGGAGGCATGTTTCCAATTTTCTACCATTTTCTTTAGCCAATGGACTAGGCATCTGTTAATTCAAAATCCCACACCTTGGAATAGGCTTTTGAAAATAAACAAATAAAAGACAATATAACAAAATTCAACTTTTTAATGTGAAGATTACAATGGACTATTTCTCTCAATCTCAATCTGACCCAAATTGGCTCTCTACTGGAGTTCACACTCTAAGTGAGAAACACTCCTTTCTGTCATTTTTGTCTGGTGCTTACTATCTTGAAATGAGATGCTATAATTTAAAAATGTAATTGACCAGCATGTCTATTAGGTAACTTAGAAGCCTGTCTTTGCCACAACAAAAACATGATATAGAACTCTTGCGACACATCAGCACTCTGATAATCAACCCTTCTTCCTTCCTGGAGAATTAGAATTTGATCTTATTTGGTGGAATGCCGACTGATCACACTTTTCTATCGAAATCGTAATTGACTTGTGTGGATGCATGTGTAAAAATTTTTCCGTTATTGATGGGATTTGTTCTCTTATTTTCGTTTGTTCAGGCTTGCTGTTTTGTGCTTCAAAGTTGGGTCTCAAAGAAGTTCATGACTGGATGGTAGTAGCTTCTCTTTTGCCTGGTATTTTAGCTGAATCTGTGTTATTCTGTACCCATCAGGTCTAAGTTGACATTGTGTTAAATCCTGAAATTGCAGTGTCGTTCTATTTCCTGTTGCTGTCACATTTTTCGTGACTTGGTGGTTTATTCAGTTTGTCGATGGTTTCTTCAGTCCACTATATGAACAACTGGGCATTGACATATTTGGTTAGTCTGCAGTTCCAAGCATTACTTCTTGCCTGAATTTCACTAGGCGATCTGTTTGTTTCGATGTACACGTGGCATTTAAATTTTCAATTCTTGAATTTACCATTGAGCTCTAGTTAAAAATTAGTATTGTCCTGCAATCCTATGATCGAGAATGTTGAGTGGAAATTAGCTGGATGCAAGAGAAGTTACCTTCAACGGGATGCAAAATGATTATTCTGAAGATTACTGTTGCTAGCTTGCTACTACATATCTCTTTTTGTAGACTCTGTTGATACGAGGATATTAGCAATTAATGAAATTTTTTCTTTTGGTAGGTAATGGGGAATTAGGGAAAACTTAGTCTGGCCAATTGGAAATTAGTGAAGGCCCTTAACAGATCTGGTTTGACTCAGACATTCTAGTGTTTAATATAAGCTTTATTGGGCAAGTAGTTGTGGAGTTTTGGTTGTGAGCTGAACTCACTCTGGAAACCTATCACTGTTGCAAAATATGAATGGGAAAGGAGTGGGTGGAAAACTAAAGTGCCCCAACTCCTTATGGTGTTGGGCTTAAGAGAGGTATCTTGAACAACTAAACGTGTTTTATAGGATAGTTACTCTTGGAATTGGGAACGTCAGTTCTCAGCACTATAATAGACCTCGGTCTATTATTCAGCCCCTGTTTGACACTCATTTTGTTTGAAAAATAATTTTTGGAATAGTGATGGATTGTGGTTAAAAAGTAAGGAGAATATTTTGGTTTATGTGTAATATTATTTTATTAATAGAATGTGTGGTTGAAATGAAGAATGAGAAATAGAATGAGAAAAAAATAGTTGTCAAATATGGGCTCAGTATTTTAGTTGGCAATGGCTTATAGGGCTGACTTTGTGTAGGTTAACAATAAGATGGCAAAACGGAGCGTGTTGTTTATAAGGGCAATTCAAGATTGTTATAGGGCAGACTTTGTGTAGGTTAACAATAAGATGGCAAAACGGAGCGTGTTGTTTATAAGGGCAATTCAAGATTGGGAATTACATGACGTGCTGGAGTTTCTCTAGAAGCTGTATGGCTAAATGTGAATGGTGGAGAGGACAAATGAATGGATGGCTCTAGTAATGAAATGGTTATCTGCTATATATTTCTGTCAACTTCTTATTTAGAGCGTGGCTTTGGATTTCCCCTAGAGAGTTGTTT